TATGGACTTCCCTTTTCGGTAACAGTCTACATTGCTTGAGCCCCAAAAGTGTGTTACTTGTGCAAGGCCCGAAAGTATGCAATGCATGCCACACTCAGGAAATTGCACTAGGAGACGTTTTGCACACAACTGTACTGACAGACCGGCCATTTTGTTATTATTTTTAGCAGACGACAGCAAGCAAAATCAAACTAAAAAATGAATTTTATGTATACATATTATAAAATATGTATAGAGATTTATATAATAAAAAAAATACTTTTACATAAACTCACAGCCCCACACAAATGCGTCGGTTTGTATGTCTAGGCAAATGCATATGTAGAAGTTTTGTAGTATCCTAAGGCCTATGTTATTTGGGTGCATGTGTGAGTGTGTTTTTCTGCATCGTTTTGCCTGTGTGTGTGTGTCTGTGCGCTTGCATCACCTAACTTCATGGTGAAGTGCAACAAACTCTGCTCTACACAAAAACGCCGCCCAACAAAATGCAATCAAATGGCAAAAATTTTGCCAGACTGCAGGCGGGCAGCAACAACAAATGTTGTTGCAACAACTGCAACTGCAATCTCCCGTCTGCCACAGTGGCAAGTGGGTGGTTGAGGGGGCGGTGGGCGGTCAAGGGGGTGGGTATGTGTGTGTGTGTGTGGTAGGAGCCAGTGTGGCAGACCAGACACTGGCCATAAAACAGCAAAAACAAACTGCATGTGAAACATTTTAGTTGCATTTTCTATATGGAATATGCGGACTTGGGTGAACCTGAATTGCATATCAAATTTTAAGCTGTCTCTTAATTATTTTTCTTCGATTTATATAAGGGCTCTATCTAAAGGTTATATTACTCATACGCAGTGTTGGACAATTGTATTAAACATTTATTTCTTATTTTTAAGCAGTACAATATTCCACATGTTTAAGCACGAAGACAGGTTAAAAAAAATTTTGCAATACTATTCGATTTAATTAAACATCTTGTGGTGGGCATTTATGTCGTATACGTAATTTATGTAAAATCGTCATTGCACTTTCGTAATTTCTAGGAAACTGTTAGTTATTTTTTTCTAATTTCGTCACCTAAAGGTCCACTCTTTTTACACATAAATTCAACCGTTTGGTACGAACGTGTGTGGGTGCATAATCCATGTGCATATATAAATGTACAAAATCAACCCTTAGCTTTTGACTAGCCGGTCAAAAAAACAGCATCTGTGTGCGTTCGTATGTGCATAAAATAAATTTCATTTAAATTAAAATAAATAAAACTCGTCCCCAAACCGACGCGTCGGCCCAAAAACAAGAACTTAGACAAAGCGCAGACACATCCATAATGGCTCTACCACCACTCGAACTCCAAACACTTCCAATTCCCTGAAACGGATAGCAGATAGCAGATGAAACTGTCTGGACATCGAAGAAAAAGCTTTCATTAGGCCAACTGCAGTCTATGCATTTTAATTGATTGCCAGCCGTCTTTGTGGGCTTATTTTTGGCAAAATTCCATTAATCTCCGGCAATATTCGGACATTGCGTCTAATGTCATTAAGTCCAGAATCTTTCTGCACGAATAAGATGCTGAATTGAGTTTCTCAAAGGAATCAAAAACTGATTAAGAAATCATTTACTCGGGCCACGCTTCTTAGATAGCATCACAGAATTTTTAATTAAGTATCATTACTCAATGCTGAAGTTTATTCTCCACCCACGATAATATTAGAATTGATTGGCTAAACACAATTAACATTGGTGGATTTGTTTGTTTTTATTTAAAGAAAGTTTAGTTTTTAATGTTTTACTTACTTGCTTATCAAAAGGCAATACTTAAATAAAATAACGAATTTTTTAATTAAATTCTCGTTAGGAAAACACAAACAGATTTTCCTTTCAAAGTTCGAAAAAATTATACTTTTTCCAAATTTTAAGTATATAATGTATATTGACTTAAAGCAATATTGAGCAATAAAGATATTTTTCTTTAAAAATGAATAGTTTAATTTTAAAAATTTTTCCTTATGAATATTGTCAAGCAACAACAATAATAATTGGGCGCAAGTAACCAAGAATTAGTACGTAATTATCTTTGAAAAATATCATAGCTATACAGATATAATTATTTAAAGGTGTCTGTCTGAGCTATTTTGTGAATTTAATTGCTTTATTTAGTCTATAATTTTATGGGTTTGTTTAATTACGAAGACTTGCAGGAGTAAATTTGCTAGTTAACTATTAACCTGTGACGCCATGCAGTAAAAAGTCAGAGCAACATCTGCATCGTTACCCACTTGCCTCAACCACAATCCGCATTTCGCCGCAAGATAGGAGGCCAGTGGTTTGGGTTCTGGTGGTGCCACAACCTCATCCACCACCACCCACGAGAAACAGGCCACGAAGACGGAGGCAGACATTAACCAAACAAGCGGTGGCGGTGGCCAAAAGGGAACACGTCCTCGACCTAGTTCAATGGCAATGTCATTGTGCCACATTATCGCCGGCGACGTCGTCCTCTGCTGGCTTGGCCTTGGCTGGAGTTGAGCTGTGAGTTGTGAGGCTGCTGGGAAACGAGAACGAGCGCATGAGTCGAGGCCACGGCCACGGCCACGAACATGGCCAAAGTGGCACACGGCAGGCAGCAAACCAAACCAGCAGCATCCACCCACCAAACCCGCCAGCATCCACCCATCCACAACCATACCCATTCACCCATCCATCCGGCGAAAACGAGACACAACAGCAACAGCGATGCTGCAACGATGCAGGCACAGAAACCGAAAAGGGGATCAGCAAGAGGAACAGCAGGTCACTGAGAAAAATAATATACGAAATCACAGCAATTCTCAATTCCTTTTTCCAAGTCACAAAACCTACAGGCGAAGCTCACATCCTTAGTTGCAAAGTTGAAGATATTTATATGAAATCCTAAGAAATCCGCAAGACAATCGTATATTACATTTTCGGTTATTCAATTATTAAGTTGTTTTAAAGTAAGTAGAATTAGTTGCAAACGAGTTTAATTTCATTTAACTACTTTGTAATATATGACTATATGCTAATGAATATAGTTTCCAGAATGAAATAATATAAAAAAGAAGTGTTTGTTTAAGAAGTTGCTACTTAAGGAACAGTTTATTTTTAAATACTTTTTAGGGTAATTCTTAATAAGTGGTATTCATTTAAACTGAAACACAATGGAGTCTAAGAGTAGGCAATGAAATAATTATACCCGTTACTCGTAGAGTAAAAGGGTATTTTGTATTCGTGCAAAAGTATGTAACAGCTAGAAGGAAGCGTTTCCGACCCTATAAAGTATATATATTCTTGATCAGGGTCACTAGCCGAGTCGATATAGCCATGTCCGTCTGTCCGTCTGTCTGTCCGTCTGTCCGTCTGTCCGTCTGTCTGTCCGTCTGTCTGTCCGTATGAACGCTGAGATCTCGGAAACTATAAAAGCTAGAAGATTGGCATTTTGCATGCAGATTCTAGGAGTTCCTACGCAGCGCAAGTTTGTTTCAAAAAGGTGCCACGCCCCCTTTAACGCCCACAATCGCTTATATACGATTTTAAAAATTTAAATATTTCGGAAAAGTAAAAATGCAGTTTTATTGTGTTTATCAATACATATCGAAATGTAGAAGAACTTTTTCAAGTCAGACCATTCGTTAAAAAGTTATGCGTGATCAAAGTTTCTATCTCCATCTCCCTCGCACTCCCTTTACCTGAGTAACGGGTATCTGATAGTCAGGGCACCCGACTATAGCGTTCTCTCTTGTTTTAAATCTATTCTGTGCAAAACCTTAGTCGTTTTTAACTGCTATACAAAAAATATAACATTTACGTCAAAAGTTTTGAAATGCTTTAATAATCATTTATTATAAAAAAGTACATGAAAACAAAAGGAATGAAGTAGGTGGTATTTGGATATAGAAATTATTATATATCTTTAGTATAATTTAGGAACTTTTTTCCGAGTGCAAGAGCAGGCGGTGGCGACAATATCCTTGCACTTGTGCAGGCCGCGAGGCGCACGGTGGGAGTGGGCGTGGGTGGTGGGGCACAGGACTCACAGCCACACCGCTAAGCCCGGCAACCAATCCGCCGCCAGCAGAGCACGGCAGCCTTGCCGCATCTCAGCCCCGTTTATTGTTGCAGTTGCAAGGACCTGCCTGTAGGCAGGACCCTCACCGCTCTGGTGGTTTTCTAGGGGGTGGGCGGGATGCCTGGGTGTGTGTCCTGCACTCCGAGCTCCAAGTTGCAGTGGTAGAGCAGACACTCCCCGAGCCATAGCCACCCGCACCAACCCAACAACCCACCAAACCACCCACTCTCATCAGATTTGTGCTGGATTTTCGATATGCTCTCTATACATATCTATGTACGTATATATGTCTCGTCCTCGCTCTTTCTCTCTGCGGGTCTCTACCTCCTTTTTCCGTTAGTCCATTCCTTTGGGCTGATGCCTACCCACAGCATCATGTTAATAACAGAGGAGACTTATGTAATGTTTTGTGTAGAGCAAGAGAACAATGCTAAATATAGGAGAGTTGCAACTGCATTTAAAAGTCCATCACCTGGATATTATTTCAAGTCAACTTGCTTTGTAATATCTCACTTTTAATTAAATAACACTTGATCAAAATAAGATAACAATAATTTTAATGGAAATAGTCTATTTTTGTGGTTTTTAAGGTCACCCAATTAGGCCTTTTTAAATTTATTCTTTTCCTCGAGTAAATTTAGCATTTGGAAATACCTTTGCGTATTACCCAAATTACAGTCCCTAAAGTATCTTTATTGTTTAAACAACTGTTTTGTGGTAGGCATACTTCTTTGCAAATTATTGTTTGTTTAGCCTTGTTTAATAGGCTGTAAAATAATAGGTTCTCACGGTAATGTGTTTTAACCCAGATCTGTCAGTTGTTTGCACCCACGTCCAAAGCCCACCTGACAGGTATAAATAGTGTGCTTCACGATCCAGAAGAGCATCAGTTGATCCTATCCAATTACCAGACATCAACATGAAGTTCTCCTGTGCCCTCCTCCTTTTGGCCACTGTGGGATGTATCCTGGTGAGCCTGTCCAGTCCGGCCAGTGGTGCCACAACAACCACAGCCACGACGGAGGCAACCACCACCACTACCACCACTGCGGCATCTGACACCACCACCACTACCACTGCGGCCACTTCCACTACCACGACCACGGAATCCTCCTCATCCAAAAAGAAGGAGCACGTGATCAAATACAAGCGCAAGACCCACCGCCCCAAGAAGGTCGTGAAGATCCACCACAAGAAGAAGAGTAGTGATTAAACGCCTTTAGATCGAACGTGAACTTCATCCTGAATCCTGAATTCCAGCCTTACTTTGGTTTTTCTATTATTATTAGTGTTTTTATTGTTGTAAAAATGAAAACGAAACTACATGTTTTTGTTGTTATTAATATTTATAAATATAGCTCAAAATATTATTGAAAATAACTTGTGCAACATTTATTATTTAATAGTGAGTTGGCCAGAATGACAAGCATCTTTCATTCATTTGCTTTTATTATTGTGTGGTGTAGGTAACCGAAATATTTATAGTTGTATAAACTAACTATTTTACAGATTTTATAAATATTCAAAAAGGAATCAGTTAAATAGGAGTCCTACTTGTGTGTTCATTAAAATATTAAAAATATTGCTATAAGCTGAAAACAGTTCTTTTAGGAAAATTTTTTGTTTACTTAAAATAAAATATTTATTATTTACAATTATGAAATAGCTGGCCCTAGCTATATGATATTTTCATATTTACTGCTCTTTTATGTAATATACCAAACGGCGAAGGAGACAAGGAAACTATATATATTCCTACAACATACCAAAGACCAATATAATAGCTTATATTGGTCATATATAATAGCTTATATTGGTCATATATAATAGCTTATATTGGTCTTTGAACATTCCATAGCTACATACAAATTGTGATTTCAAATATCCGTTTTTCCGAGATATTTTAATGTATAAAATCGGCGGTATGGAAATTGGCGTTGAAACAACTTGACGAATCCTTATTATACATAGTTCCTTGAGTAAACCGAGAAAAAGTAGCACAATCGGATTTCTGAATTAAATTTGTATCTACACATATTTTAGAAATTACCTAAAAGAAAGAAACCGGTGACCATTGCCTTTTAGGAAATAATTTTATTTAAAAACCATTTATAGAGAGGGATTCAGGATGTCAGATTTTGGAAGCAATTGGAACCAGTCCAGAGTTTTTCTAAAGGCGCCTAGCCACTACGCTTCTTCTTGTGGTGGATCTTCTTGACCTTCTTGGGGCGGTGAGTCTTGCGCTTGTACTTGGTCACGTGCTTCTTCTTTTTGGAAGAGGAGGATTCCGTGGTCGTGGTAGTGGAAGTGGCCGCAGTGGTAGTGGTGGTGGTGTCAGATGCCGCAGTGGTGGTAGTGGTGGTGGTTGCCTCCGTCGTGGCTGTGGTTGTTGTGGCACCACTGGCCGGACTGGACAGGCTCACCAGGATACATCCCACAGTGGCCAAAAGGAGCAGGGCACAGGCGAACTTCATGTTGATATCTGTAGTGGATATGATCAACTGATGATTTTCTGGTGCAATCCTCGCACTATTTATACTCCTCGAAGAGTTAAGCAAGGCAAACGTGGGAACCTGGCGCAGAACTATATTATCTAAGCCGTCGGCAATCAGGTCAAGCAAATAAGAATATGCAAAGAACTTTACAAACCAGAAATCAGTTGTTCAAACATTAAAGATACTTCTGTAGGCTCAAAATAAAAGTATTAAATTTATTAAGTTTTTAGATTTTATCATGGTAATAGTAATGGTAATAATTATAAGTCCCGGCTTAAATGAAAATGTAATTTGCCCAAAAAAAGCGTAATAACAGAAAAATAAAAATTTTAAAAAATTGTTCTGGTTTTATTGTTTTTACTTTTTATTTTTAATCCCATTATTATTTATATTGTGCCCAACCGCATTTTCTTTGGAGAAACTCATTTGCAGCAAGGTCCAACTTTACCAAATTTAAGCCGATTTCATAATGAATTACCTCTTAAGACTTTTGGTTATATTCTCTAATAATCTGCATTTAAATTTGTTAACCCATTTTTATGTTGGTGAGCGTATTATTATTTAATTCTAAAGTTTGCAACGCAGTGAAGGGCATATTTCCGACCCCATAAAATATACATATTCTTGATTAGCTTCACCAGGCGAGTCGATCTAAACATTCTTTTGCAGGTAATCTGTAGGACGGAACGGGAAGGATCGGTCTACTATATCATACAGCTCATAAAGTCTAAAAAGGTTAATTACTATTTCTATTATTACTTTTAAAAGAGCTTGTTATATTATGTCATATTAAGTCAGGATAAGTGTAAGTACGACATTTTAATAAATTACACAGTTTATTTACTTATAGCTATTTTTAATGACTTCTATATTTGGAAAATTGTGTACTTATTGATATCATAATATAACCACTTCAAAGTATATTTTATGTTTGTACAACTGTTTTCTGGTAGGCATACTTCTTTGCAAATTATTGTTTGTTTAGCCTTGTTTAATAGGCTCTAAGATAATGGATTCCCACGCTAATGCGGATAAGCCCAGATCTATCAGATGTTTTCATCCATAAGAGGTATAAATAGTGTGCTCCATGATCCAGAAAAGCATCAGTTGATCACATTCAATTACCAGACATCAAAATGAAGTTCGCCTGTGCCCTGCTCCTTTTGGCCACTGTGGGATGTTTCCTGGTGAGCCTGTCCAGTGCGGCCAGTGCTGGCACAACCACAGCCACGACGGAGGCAACCACCACCACTACCACCACTGCGGCATCTGACACCACCACCACTACCACTGCGGCCACTTCCACTACCACGACCACGGAATCCTCCTCTTCCAAAAAGAAGAAGCACGTGACCAAGTACAAGCGCAAGACCCACCGCCCAAAGAAGGTCAAGAAGATCCACCACAAGAAGAAGCGTAGTGGCTAGGCGCCTTTAGAAAAACTCTGGACTGGTTCCAATTGCTTCCAAAATCTGACATCCTGAATCCCTCTCTATAAATGGTTTTTAAATAAAATTATTTCCTAAAAGGCAATGGTCACCGGTTTCTTTCTTTTAGGTAATTTCTAAAATATGTGTAGATACAAATTTAATTCAGAAATCCGATTGTGCTACTTTTTCTCGGTTTACTCAAGGAACTATGTAAAATAAGGATTCGTCAAGTTGTTTCAACGCCAATTTTCATACCGCCGATTTTATACATTGAAATATCTCGGAAAACCGGATATTTGAAATCACAATTTGTATGTAGCTATGGAATGTTCAAAGACCAATATAAGCTATTATATATGACCAATATAAGCTATTATATTGGTCTTTGGTATGTTGTAGGAATATATATAGTTTCCTTGTCTCCTTCGCCGTTTGGTATATTACATAAAAGAGCAGTAAATATCAAAATATCATATAGCTAGGGCCAGCTATTTCATAATTGTAAATAATAAATATTTTATTTTAAGTAAACAAAAAATTTTCCTAAAAGAACTGTTTTCAGCTTATAGCAATATTTTAAATATTTTAATGAACACACAAGTAGGACTCCTATTTAACTGATTCCCTTTTGAATATTTATAAAATCTGTAAAATAGTTAGTTTATACAACTATAAATATTTCGGTTACCTACACGACACAATAATAAAAGCAAATAAATGAAGGATGCTTGTCATTTTGGCCAATTCACTATTAAATAATAAATGTTGCACAAGTTATTTTCAATAATATTTTGAGCTATATTTATAAATATTAATAACAACAAAAACATGTAGTTTCGTTTTCATTTTTACAACAATAAAAACACTAATAATAATAGAAAAACCAAAGTAAGGCTGGAATTCAGGATTCAGGATGAAGTTCACGTTCGATCTAAAGGCGTTTAATCACTACGCTTCTTCTTGTGGTGGATCTTCACGACCTTCTTGGGGCGGTGGGTCTTGCGTTTGTATTTGATCACGTGCTCCTTCTTTTTGGATGAGGAGGATTCCGTGGTCGTGGTAGTGGAAGTGGCCGCAGTGGTGGTGGTGGTGGTGTCAGATGCCGCAGTGGTGGTAGTGGTGGTGGTTGCCTCCGTCGTGGCTGTGGTTGTTGTGGCACCACTGGCCGGACTGGACAGGCTCACCAGGATACATCCCACAGTGGCCAAAAGGAGGAGGGCACAGGAGAACTTCATGTTGATGTCTGGTAATTGGATAGGATCAACTGATGCTCTTCTGGATCGTGAAGCACACTATTTATACCTGTCAGGTGGGCTTTGGACGTGGGTGCAAACAACTGACAGATCTGGGTTAAAACACATTACCGTGAGAACCTATTATTTTACAGCCTATTAAACAAGGCTAAACAAACAATAATTTGCAAAGAACTATGCCTACCACAAAACAGTTGTTTAAACATTAAAGATACTATGACGTAGTTCCATTATTTTAATTATATATACATATATATATTTATGAAAAATAAAAGGCATAAGCTGTGCATTATGTTCTATTTTATTACTTTTATTTGTTCTGATTTTAAAGTAATTAAATTATAATAAGCTAGGTTAAAAATAATAACAGAAGATCTTTAAGCTTTTTAGATTAAACAATTAAAATTTAATTAATTCATACCAAATATGATGTTATATGGCGACAGTGCGGTTTTTACAATAAACATGTTTGTTCTCCTATATACAATAAACAAGAAGTTGTAAAAATTCTAAATATATAGGTAATAAGTAGGTTCTTAAAAAAAATCTATTTTGAAGCAAATTAAAGATTAAATAAATTTGGGGTTGCTGTTGAGCTGTATGAGTATTGGTTACGGCCAATTTAAATTTACAATCTTTCGAATTTTTTTGAAGTTTGCGCTGGTAGAACTTCATTACAACTACTATACAATACCAAAAATATCCATAGATTATTCAACTTTCGATCAATTTCACAGTTAATTGGAATGGCCAATAATGCTAAACATTTGCAAATCAAAGCTGGATAAGAGTTCAATCAATTGACATTCCAATTATAAATGCATTATATGGTTTTTTAAAATATAAATTTATTAATAACATACAAGTGCAAAGTGCTTTTATTCTTACAATAACAAGGATAAATTATATAACTATAAATGCGAATGGGATTGAAGGAGTCATAAGTTCGGAAATTGAAACCAGTCCGGAGTTCTTTTAAAGGAGGCTAACCACTACGCTTCTTCTTGTGGTGGATCTTCACGACCTTCTTGGGGC